AGGTATTGGGGTGCACTCATGGGGGTGAAATCAGCAGGGGTGAAGTACTAGGGGGCAATCACGGGGTGCACTCACTGGGGATGGCGGACTGGGGGGCAATCATGGGGTGCAGTCAGCAGGGGTGAGGTGTTGGGGTGCACTCATGGTGGTGAAATCAGCAGGGGTGAGGTATTGGGGGGCAATCATGGGGTGCAATCAGCAGGGATGAGGTATTAGGGGGCAATCATGGGGTGCAATCAGCAGGGATGAAGTATTGGGGGGCAATCATGGGGTGCAGTCAGCAGGGGTGTATCCCTATGGGTACACTCATGGGGGTGAAATCAGCAGGGGTGAAGTACTGGGGGGCAATCATGGGGTGCAGTCTGCAGGGGTGAGGTATTGGGGTACACTCATGGTGGTGAAATCAGCAGGGGTAAGGTATTGGGGTGCACTCATGGGGGTGAAATCAGCAGGGGTGAAGTACTAGGGGGCAATCACGGGGTGCACTCACTGGGGATGGCGGACTGGGGGGCAATCATGGGGTGCAGTCAGCAGGGGTGAGGTACTGGGGTGCACTCACGGGGGTGAAATCATCAGGGATGAAGTATTGGGGGGCAATCATGGGGTGCATACAGCAGGGGGGGATCACTCGGTGCATACAGCAGGGGTGAGGTATTGGGGTGCACTCATGGGGTGCATACAGCAAGGCTGGTGTATCAGGGTGCATACACTGGAGTTGAAGTATCGGGGTACAGCCACAGGGTGCAATCAGCAGGGATGAAGTATCGGGGTGCATTCACCAGGGATCACACATCAGGGGGCATTCATTCGACAGGGAGGAAGTATTGGGGTGCGTTCACCGGGGTGCATCCCTCAGAGAGGGCGTATCGGGGTGCTTCCACTGGAGGCAGGGGGATTGGGGTGCATTCATGGGGTGACCATACCGGGGGGCATGCACTGGGGACGGCATTTTGGGGTGCATCCGGGGGGGTGCCTTCACCAGGGATGGAGGATTGGGGTGAGCTCACTGGGGATGGCATTTTGGGGTGCATCCAGGGGGTGCCTTCACCAGGGAAGGAAGATTGGGGCCCACACACCAGGGATGGCATTTTGGGGTGCATCTGGGGGGGTGCCTTCACCAGGAATGGAAGATTGGAGCACACACACCAGGGACGGCATTTTGGGGTGCATCCAGGGGGGTGCCTTCACCCAGGATGGAAGATGGGGCCCACACACCAGGGATGGCATTTTGGGGTGCATCTGGGGGGGTGCCTTCACCAGGAATGGAAGATTGGAGCACACACACCAGGGACGGCATTTTGGGGTGCATCCAGGGGGTGCCTTCACCAGGGAAGGAAGATTGGGGCCCACACACCAGGGATGGCATTTTGGGGTGCATCTGGGGGGGTGCCTTCACCAGGAATGGAAGATTGGAGCACACACACCAGGGACGGCATTTTGGGGTGCATCCAGGGGGTGCCTTCACCAGGGAAGGAAGATTGGGGCCCACACACCAGGGATGGCATTTTGGGGTGCATCTGGGGGGGTGCCTTCACCAGGAATGGAAGATTGGAGCACACACACCAGGGACGGCATTTTGGGGTGCATCCAGGGGGTGCCTTCACCAGGGAAGGAAGATTGGGGCCCACACACCAGGGATGGCATTTTGGGGTGCATCTGGGGGGGTGCCTTCACCAGGAATGGAAGATTGGAGCACACACACCAGGGACGGCATTTTGGGGTGCATCCAGGGGGTGCCTTCACCAGGGAAGGAAGATTGGGGCCCACACACCAGGGATGGCATTTTGGGGTGCATCTGGGGGGGTGCCTTCACCAGGAATGGAAGATTGGAGCACACACACCAGGGACGGCATTTTGGGGTGCATCCAGGGGGTGCCTTCACCAGGGAAGGAAGATTGGGGCCCACACACCAGGGATGGCATTTTGGGGTGCATCTGGGGGGGTGCCTTCACCAGGAATGGAAGATTGGAGCACACACACCAGGGACGGCATTTTGGGGTGCATCCAGGGGGTGCCTTCACCAGGGAAGGAAGATTGGGGCCCACACACCAGGGATGGCATTTTGGGGTGCATCTGGGGGGGTGCCTTCACCAGGAATGGAAGATTGGAGCACACACACCAGGGACGGCATTTTGGGGTGCATCCAGGGGGTGCCTTCACCAGGGAAGGAAGATTGGGGCCCACACACCAGGGATGGCATTTTGGGGTGCATCTGGGGGGGTGCCTTCACCAGGAATGGAAGATTGGAGCACACACACCAGGGACGGCATTTTGGGGTGCATCCAGGGGGTGCCTTCACCAGGGAAGGAAGATTGGGGCCCACACACCAGGGATGGCATTTTGGGGTGCATCTGGGGGGGTGCCTTCACCAGGAATGGAAGATTGGAGCACACACACCAGGGACGGCATTTTGGGGTGCATCCAGGGGGTGCCTTCACCAGGGAAGGAAGATTGGGGCCCACACACCAGGGATGGCATTTTGGGGTGCATCTGGGGGGGTGCCTTCACCAGGAATGGAAGATTGGAGCACACACACCAGGGACGGCATTTTGGGGTGCATCCAGGGGGTGCCTTCACCAGGGAAGGAAGATTGGGGCCCACACACCAGGGATGGCATTTTGGGGTGCATCTGGGGGGGTGCCTTCACCAGGAATGGAAGATTGGAGCACACACACCAGGGACGGCATTTTGGGGTGCATCCAGGGGGTGCCTTCACCAGGGAAGGAAGATTGGGGCCCACACACCAGGGATGGCATTTTGGGGTGCATCTGGGGGGGTGCCTTCACCAGGAATGGAAGATTGGAGCACACACACCAGGGACGGCATTTTGGGGTGCATCCAGGGGGTGCCTTCACCAGGGAAGGAAGATTGGGGCCCACACACCAGGGATGGCATTTTGGGGTGCATCTGGGGGGGTGCCTTCACCAGGAATGGAAGATTGGAGCACACACACCAGGGACGGCATTTTGGGGTGCATCCAGGGGGTGCCTTCACCAGGGAAGGAAGATTGGGGCCCACACACCAGGGATGGCATTTTGGGGTGCATCTGGGGGGGTGCCTTCACCAGGAATGGAAGATTGGAGCACACACACCAGGGACGGCATTTTGGGGTGCATCCAGGGGGTGCCTTCACCAGGGAAGGAAGATTGGGGCCCACACACCAGGGATGGCATTTTGGGGTGCATCTGGGGGGGTGCCTTCACCAGGAATGGAAGATTGGAGCACACACACCAGGGACGGCATTTTGGGGTGCATCCAGGGGGTGCCTTCACCAGGGAAGGAAGATTGGGGCCCACACACCAGGGATGGCATTTTGGGGTGCATCTGGGGGGGTGCCTTCACCAGGAATGGAAGATTGGAGCACACACACCAGGGACGGCATTTTGGGGTGCATCCAGGGGGTGCCTTCACCAGGGAAGGAAGATTGGGGCCCACACACCAGGGATGGCATTTTGGGGTGCATCTGGGGGGGTGCCTTCACCAGGAATGGAAGATTGGAGCACACACACCAGGGACGGCATTTTGGGGTGCATCCAGGGGGTGCCTTCACCAGGGAAGGAAGATTGGGGCCCACACACCAGGGATGGCATTTTGGGGTGCATCTGGGGGGGTGCCTTCACCAGGAATGGAAGATTGGAGCACACACACCAGCAAAGGACAGTGTGGAGTGGCGTGGTGCAGTTTGGCATGGGAGGGTATGGTATGGTATGGTATGGTATGGCATGGCGTGGCGTGGCACGGCATGGCATGGAATGGTGTGGTGTGGTATAGCATGGCATGGTATGACATGGTATGGTGTGGGGTGGTATGGTATGGCATGGCATGGCATGGCACGGTGTGGTATGGTACGGCACAACACGACACCAGTTGTCACCGCACAGCGTGGCACAGCCTGGTGCTGGGTGCAGGGGCCTGGCACCCTGCAGCACGGTGTGGCGTGGCAGGGCATGGCAAGGGCTGGCGCGGCACAGTGCGGTGTGGCAGGACACGGTGTGGCACAGTAGGGCACGGCATGATGTGGCACGGTACGGCCTGGCAAGGTACAGTGTGGTATGGGCTGGTATGGCATGGCACAGCCCAGCACAGCCCGGCACAGCCCGGCACAGCTTGGCACAGCCCGGCACAGCCCAGCACAGCCCGGCACAGCATGGCATGGC